CAACCTGGAATTTTATTTTTAAGTTTCAAAAATTTTTTAAATTAAAAAATTAAAATTATAATTTTAATAAATTATAACTCGGCAATATACAAAAAGTTTTTATTATAATTAACCCCAAATAAGTGTATATATGTACTATTTTGATTAGCTCTAGGTGCTATACAAAAAATGCGTGGCAGATCCTCAATTTTAATTGGCTAAAAGCAATGATCAAAAAATTAGACTGGAATTACTTATAATTTTACTAATGAAGTCGCAGCCGCCTGTTAAGTGAAAATTGTTCCTGTGCCAATTTTATCATAGTGCAAGCTTATTTTTTAAAAATTTCTATTTTTGTAATGAAAAAATTAAAAAATTAATTCTGGCGAGAAATAACAAGCGGGCCAAAATTTTGAAGATCTTTAGCTGTTAGTTAATCAAAATCGAGGTTTAATACTATATTGTGTGATACAACCAGGATAGCCATCAATTTTACAGATCATATGTATAGCACCACCTGCAAACTAATTAGTATTAGATCTATAGTGCTATCATTAGAAAATTTTATACTAAACTTTTTAGAACAACTCAAGCCTGTCCTGGACAAAGTCCCATATACGTTCATGTAATTAGTCAAATGCATGTTATTTGTTTTAATTGTGATTAAGAGGCATTCATATGGTTAGCTAATTTATATTAAAATTTATTTTGATTATTACATGTATGGACTCGACTCAAGAACTGGGTTCTAATTGAAGTCCCTATTTACGAAGTCTGGACCGAAAGGATCAGACTTTTAACAGCTCTACATAATACTCTTAAAATGTAATATAGTAAAATCAAATTCACATGCACAAATAAATGCATACAAAAAGTTCATAGTTAGAATTTCTATTTTAGAGTAAAATAGGATTAAAAGTAAATTAACAAAGCTAAAAATAGAAACAATCAAGAAATTAGAAAACCTTAAATTTATAATGACCCTTGATAAAACCCTTTTATTTGGTGAATTATTGTGATTAGAATTTGGAACTGAATTAAATCGAATTTAGATTCGAATTGTTAAATCGAAATCTGGATTTATTTCATCAGCACTTTATTATTGGTTAAATTCAATAATAGCAATAGTATCTAAAATCAAATTGCACTATTATGTTTAACAAACCTATTTTATCATTACAGATAGTTCTAGAAGATAGTGTCCGGACTTATGCGATTTCGGGGGATTAAACAATGAAAAATCCCTGAAATCGCATAAGTTTGGACACTCTAATAGGAGATTGAATTCTTTTGTTCTTGTATTACAAATTGTAAGTATTGCAAATTCAGTTGATTCAAATTTATATCCAAATCTAAATCAAATCCAAAAGCAATCAGATTTAAATCTGAAGGTCGAATCCAATACTATCTCAATTGTGATCATAATGATTTTAAGCATTTAAAATTAACACGAGTTTTATCCTGAATATGTATTGCCCCAAGAGTAAAATTTATTTATACATGACTCAAATGGCATACACCGTATATTATAAAATGATTATGACAATATAAATTGCAAATAAAATTTAAAATTTGCAATGTACAATCACATGTAACTTTATAAAAAAAAAGAAAAAAAATTCTCACAAAAAGTTTAAATTTTTCATACCTTTTTTTTGTAAATTCTCTATCCTTTAAAAAAAAAAAAGCTTTATGCAAATGTACACATATTGAAAGGAAATAAAACATTACATAAATAGTATATACATCCAATCTCATATGAAATGATGCTTAAAGAATTCTTTTATAAGCTAATAAATTGCGAAATTTTACCAGATGCATTAGTTGATGTGATTGATTTTAAGCAAATAAAGCATATTGATTTAAGTAAATCAACTAACCCACCAACAGAGACAACACAAACAAGTCCAGACTACAAAATTATTGAACTCACCAGCAAGTTTGAAAAAAATGTTTATTATCATCTTCATAATAATGGAATGCAAAACAGTAATTTAGATAAATCTAAAAACAGGTTTGATATTATTATGCAATCTTCTCAAAGTAAACAGTTTTGCATATCAAATTTTTTATATTCACTGAATTCAAACTGCAAGTAGTTACTACATCTAGATATTGTCAGATTAATTCAGAATCATCAAAGCGGTTGGTCGACACAAGTATTAGCAAATAATGAAGGAAAGCAGTTTGTAATTTTTTTATTAGAAGCTCTTTGGTACATAGATATGTGTGATAATAAAAAATTAAAAAAACGAAGCTTCAACATACCTCCAATGTTTCATGAATTTCTTGGTTGTGCAAACCCCGAAGCATATAAAGAGGCAAGAAAACAATTTGACATAAATGAGTTAAATACTCATTGTCAATTACTTATCTTTTACCTTTCATCATCATGGATGCAATTCTCTAACTTTAGTTGGCTATATGCTGCATTTGATGATCTTATAATTGCAATTTCTGATTATGCGAAATACTTGGATAAGCAGTGAGAAGCAATAACTTCAAATCATATAAAGGAAGCCCCTATTCGAAATATAGAAAAATTCACAATCCACATCAATAAACATCTATGAAAGCAATAATTGGATAAATTCATGTAACAAAATATAATACCAAAAACTTGAAAATATTCTAAAAGACCTTCCACTATGGAAACCAATAAACCTTGAAGAGCATCTACTAAAAGACCCAATGCAAGTATATACTCAAATATATACTCAAATATATACTCAAATATATCAATTAATAACTTATCTTTTTGTTCTAGACAATGGTTACAATTTATTCAAGGCCTTTTACAAGCATTTGCCTTAAAGATTGGAGAATACTATTATAGCTCTGGGAATAATGCTTACAATGTTATATACATCTAGAAAATTGATCAAAATACTACTGAAACAAAAATTGTACAAAAAATGATGCATATTACAAGAAAGTTACGAATGAAGTACCTTTATACCATACTTGCATAATGCAAGCCAATTTCATGCGCACTTGTGATCTGTTATTGCCTAAGGTCAAACCAGCACCCTTACAAGCAGTTTATCATATGCTAACAAGAGATATATTGGCTGCTGAATCTGTAAATAAAAAATAAGTGGACAATCGTGTAAAATTAGCTTTAGAGCTTGTGATTCTGATATTACTATTGATCTTCAGGAATATAATGAGGGAAGACCAGAAAAATATAATACTTTTTGGGAAATAGCAGCTTGTTTTCTTGCAGGAAAAGCAGCAGATCTGGTAACTGCAGTTGATGAACAGCACCATAATCCGATTGTATATCTTGCCACTGCAATTTCAATAAATGATCTTTTTCAACAAATAAAAAATAAATGCTTGGAAGATACACCAATTCCTAGTGCTCAATGGCTAAGATTACAATTCTGGCCAAAAAATCTAACACATCTAACCAGCTTACAATATACAGGCTGCTTACCTTTAAAATTCATGGTGCAATCTTGATAATTATGAGCCAATCATCTAGATTCCTACTATGCTTCAGCAATCTTTCATTATGAAAAAGAGTTCGCAGTTAAATTTTGTGACTTTACAACACTTGTGTTTTTAGATGATAAGTATCGATGCAAAATCGGAGAGCCAGGCCATCCTATAGTAGCAGTTGATAGGGGGAAACGAGTAATAGTAAGAAAAAACATGACATTCACAATAAATAACTATGATTTTTCAAAGACCAGAATGGTGCCAAGCATGATAGTGCTCTGTGATATTTCTGAAACAATTAATAGAAATTTTTATACAGAAGAAGTATGCATCGGACTAAAAGACCTAATTTTCTAGCCTTCCACTCTCTTATGCCATACGACTGAACTTAATAATATCTTTTTAACACAAAACATACCCACCCTATTTTATGTCTTTATACGGATGGTGGCCCCGATCACCGGTGTACATATATGCATATTTAGTTATCTTATATTTGTTTATTCTTAGCCTTTGACCTTGATTATCTTGTAGCAGCAAGGACACTACCCTCACACTTCTGGAAAAACTGTTAAACATATAATGTCGATACTCAATCTTGGATTACAATACATTGGATTGATGTGTAGCAAAATGGATGATAAATATGAGAACCTTATTAAGAAAGCAAACTCAATAAAAGATATTTGAGAAATTGCAGAATTAAACTCTATCTTGAGAGATGAACTTATAAAAAGTATCCAGGATCCAATTAATCTTGTTAATAAAATTTTTGAACAACAGTCTTTAAAAGGTGTACCATTTAAAATATTTGATGCTACAATGGACGAAGATGTTGAAAAATTTTGGAAGAACATTAATCTAATTAATGACACTGTAACATATGATGATTATGAAATAAAAAATCTAAAACAACAGGTAAGTGGATATTTATATAGTCAACTATGAATATAGTGGATTTTTTTAATTATAATCTATAGTTGACTATAAGAAAATCAAATAAATACATAAACCAACTATAACTACTTCCAAAAGCCACATTTGAAAAAATTTTTTGACCATTGCTGCATGGCAAGATATTACTTTTTTACAATAAAAAAGTGTGGTGAAGATACTTGTCCAATTTGCCTACCACCTCGATACTCACGTGAAATATTTAATCAACTTTACACCCTTCCTGATCCAATTCTGGGAAGATTCGCATTATAAATCTTTTGAAGAACTTTATAGCACCCATACAACAGAAAAATATAGACCTTCACACAAAAAAGCAATACCTAGAACAAAATCTATTCAAACAAGAGGATGGATGAAAGAAAAAATAAAGTATACAATATCTTTCTGCCCTTCTGTATTGTGTGCTAAAAATGGCAGAATTATAGTTAAGTGCACAGAATGTGATAAACCAAGACTGTTATTTAGTGCCAAAAAATTACTGGAAAAGGATCATTAAATACTTAGCCGATTCCTAGATACCATCCTATACACATGCGGAACTGCATTTCACAATACTTGTGAGTTATTATTTGTTATACCAACTAGGCAACATTATGATTCAGATAAAGTTCCTGAACATAATGACTACAATTATGATGATGATTCTGTTGCTAATCCTAATAATTCTAACTAAGAGACAATTATCAATAATATTGATGATAGTGAAAGTGATGAAAGTGATCAAGAAAATGAAATTAATGAAATAGATAATAGTTCTAATGAACCTGAAGAAGAAAGTACAAAAGATGAAATTAGTGACTCTATCCAGAAAATATTTAAGAGCATTTTTGTTAACAACTCTTGAACTTGTAACTTTTCAATTGAAAACCCATATTATTTAGCATCAATCTATCCTGAAGTTTGTTACCTGTGTGGTAGTCTTGATGTCAATCAGCCTACACTATTAGATACCACATGTCCACCTCGTTCTAAAGAAAAACTACCAAAGTATGAAAGCTATACTAGTTCAGATAGTTCAACCAAACGCAAAGGATGGAAATCATTTATCAAAGGCAAAAAGCCTAAAAACCTTCACAAATTCTCTAGAGGATAGTAATTTTGATAAAAGTTTTTTGTTCCTTTTAACTAGATTCATATTATTAGTGAAATAATAAACAGTTTACTAATGCTATCAATATTCTTGAAATATCTTGAAATAAAGTATTTTTTTTAGCTTAATACATATACAGGAATGTGAGCTATGTCATATAACATAAAAAGCAAAGTAAGTTAGTATGTACTAGTACTAAAATAGAAAAAGACAGGGCACAAGAGAGATTGCTTACCTTATTCAGGTAAAGTGAATAAACTTAAAGTGGCAACATGGCGAATCTCTTGTAGATTATACCTGAAATTTCATATAGTTTAAATAAGAAAGTTTTGATCGAAGTCTATACCCAAAAACAGTAAACTGAAAAGATTAATAAAGCAAAACCTGTAGTTAGTATTTCTTAAAAAATTTACTTTATGCTTCAATAGTCTAAAGCATGTTAACAAATCTGATTAGTTAATATTATGCTGCGCCTCAAAAATTTAAATTTTTTTACCCAGGTTTTATGGCCTGGCTGGGTTATGAGAAACAAAAAAAAATTTTTGCTTGGCTTAATAAGGGTAATTGGAAGTATTTTTATTTAGAACTATTTGCTTTATAAGATTTAAATAAATTTCTTATTGCTAACTATTTAATTTGAAAGGTTCAAGCTTTTTAGTAGTAAAATATTTATATTTAATATTTAAATTAAGTTGCTTAAATAAATTAAAGCTTTAATTTATATACAATACTAAATTATAGATTCTTTAGTAAATTTAGATTTATTAACAATAAAATATTACTTTTATTTAACTTTATATATATTCTTTTTTTTAATGTTAAAGGTAAGACTATGCTTTTATCTTTATTAGATTTAACAAAAACTTTTTACATAATCAGAAAAGGTTTTATTTTTTAAATCTAAAACTAAGAAAAAGAACTCAGACATATATCTAAGTAAACCTAAATACTTATCTGTGGCCTAAATCTACCAAAATAGCCAAGGCTTATCTAGATTGAGGATAGGTAAGAATAAGAGAAGAGTGTGAAGAGAATTTGATCCAGTTAGAATACCAGGTTTTTATTTTATAGAGTGGATTAGATATAAACAAGTTTAAAGAATTTACAGATATGGGGGTTATGTTTGAAGAAAATACAATAGGATTAGCAAAAGTTGTACTGCTATTATTGCTAGAGCAAGGTTAGATTGTGATTTGGAGAAGCAGTAGGAGATTCAGATATTTGTATAAATTTGTTAGTTAAAATAAAGAAGAAGTTGAATAGTAAGGGAGCAGACAAGATTGTTAGAAGAAGTGTAATCTTGTAAGGTGTTTATAATATTAGCTAAAACAAGACTAGTGATAGTAGAGAACAGTGATAGTTTAAAAGTAAAAGAATGAATTTGTAAGCTATCAAGGTTTTTAATTTGGTTAAAGAAGTGTTGTGTTTGGGTTTGTGAGATTTGAAGTTTACTAGAAGTTAGAATATGTTGTAGAGATATATTAAGAAGGTTTAATATTGAATCTGAAGAGGGACAGAATACCCAGTGTAATACTTCAGTAGGTTGTTGGCATATGTGGCAAGAATTAGAATAAGAAGGATATCTTTTATAAAGAATATGTGAAGATAGAATGTTATCAAGTAATAGTTTAACTCTAAATGTTTTAAGTATTGATGATTGAAAGCTGTGCGAGAAGTTTGAAGCTTTTTGATTGTTATTAAGATAAAGCCAGGTAGCATTCCAATAAATAGCCTGAAAAAGAGAAAACTATTGTTGAAATCAGTATTAGGAGGACTAGCATGCAAGAATATTTGTGTTGCAGATAGTTCAGATGCTATGCCAAACAGAAAGCTCTAGAAGAAAGCTATTGAAAAGAGAAGTGAATTGAGTATTGTATATATTGCTAGGGTTAAGGGCAAGAATTGGTGCATTAGAATAGTTATGAGCTAGTTCATTAGCTTTGTTATTAAGTTCATTCTCTTGATATACCAGAACTTTATTGAAAATAATTGAAAAGTTAAATGAAGAGCAAAAGTTTAAAAATGTTTTCTAGATAGAAGTATTTGAGAAGTTTGCTGATTTAGTAGAGTATAAGAGGCTGTTGTATTTTGAGATCACTGATTGGGAGTCAGTGTAAATATGAATAGTAGAGTTTTGTGAAACTGTGCTAATAGCTAACAATATTGCAAGGAGTTTAGCTTTAAAGGAGCAGAGCCAGAGTTCAATTTGGGCTTGAAATATATATTGTATCACGTGATTGTTAATTTGTAACCAACCAATACCTATAAAGCATTAGAAGCTTCCTATATTCATAACAAAACCATCAGTATAAAAAGTAAAATTATTAAAGTTACTATTTTGGTTTGCAATATGTTGCAATGTATTGGAGGCAGAACCAGGTTGAAAGATTAGAGAAATTTGAGTAATTAAGATATTGAGGCTTGGTAAAAAAGGAGAAGAGCTAGGGTTTGAGAGTATAATTGAGTATAATAGATTCAAATAGTTAGTGTAAAAGTTGAGAGTTTTTCAGAATTAAGTCTACTAAAGAATTTTATAGCCTAGCTAGTAGGAATAAGAGTAATACACTTATTGGTAATAATATTAGAATTTAAAGAGCAGTTAGAGCATGGGGTTGAAGTTATAGAAGGTAAGAGGTAAGGTAGAAGTAAAAGGTTTGCTATATTGTATTGCTAGTGGTTTATTAAAATATAATCAGAGTTGTTAGATTGGTGGTGGCTTTGCCAATAATAATTTGATTATTAAAGAGAATAATAAGCCATGGCTTAGAGTGTTTGTAGAAGTGACCAGTATTATAACTGTAATAGTTAGATAAGGGCAAGTAAAGGCTAGACAGAAGGATACATGCAGAGGTATTAATAGTTTGGCTTTCAAGAAAAGTAAACCAGAGCAGGATTTTTTCTTTTGGGATTTTGTTGAGTCTGGGTAAAATATGTATCTAATCAAGAAGACAAGCATTGTCAAATATAGTAATTTGGTCAAAAAAGAGTAAGTGATGATGGTGAAGTTGCTTTTTAAAAGTAGGATATTTGGGATAAGAGGCAAGAATTGATTCAAGAGGTATTGAACTATCCTGAATAGTAAAAGATATAGGATAATAGAGGCTAGAGTTAATGGAGTAATTAATAAATTTGAAAAGTTGTATAATTTTAAAACTTGTAATATGTTTGTTAGATTTGTCAATAGTAGGATTGGGGTATGACAGGATATTAGTAGAAGACTAGAGATTGTTTTAAAGCTGTTGTACTCTAATTTGTGTTGCTAATCCAAGTAGATTTTGGTTATTTAACTGTTTGAGAAAGTTGAGAATGTGGTGTTAGAGTTGGATATCCCATATATTTTTGATATTGTATATTTGAGGATATAAGAGAGTGCTAGTAGAAACAGTATGGCTAAGTTTGGCTTTATGTTTAACAAGACCAATATGTTGTGAGAGAATTTTATTGCAATGGGACTAGCTAAGAACAATGTTTTGTAGTCAGTATTCAATTGAAGATATAATAACTATATTGATAATGTATAGGGCCTAGGTATCAGTAATACGTTTGGTATTAGCAATTTGAATAAGATATGAAGATTCTAATAGTATAAGCTGAGATTGTTTGGTTTGTTTGTTGTTTAAAGTAAACTAATAGCCAAGAAATTTAAATAGCTAGAATAGTGGGCAGATAGATAGAGCTTGGTTGTTAAAAGTGATTGGGTTGAGATTGGTGGTTTTGAAGTTAGTTGTAAAGATAGATTTAGATGGGGTGGTTGATATTGTGGGGACCACCTATGGTCTGGTTACCCAGACCTTTACATCCTATTCCCAGATTTTACACATATACTTCTAACCAACTTTATTTAATAGATTGTTTTATATTTATATTATATAGTTATAATACAGTATTGAAAAAGTACAGAGAAAGAAAAATAATAGAAAAATATATAAAAAAAATAGTAGTAAAATCATTAAAATTAGTTAAAACTTAACAAGATATAAATTTTTAAAGATTAAATATAAAAATTATTA